AATAGTGGAGAAGCACATTGTATATAAGTTCAGGTTTACGTTTAACATCAAGTGCCGGATCACTACGCAGGGCAATCTTCACAACATCTCTGGCCTTTCCCATTAAGTGGCTCATAATCTCTTCTGCTTGGTCATGCACAGGAATCTCTTGTTTTCGGAGATGGGTTTTAGTCATGTCGATCCAGTCCTGGACTGAGTTTTTGTCGGTGTCGTCACCTCTGAATGACTGGAGTCCTTTATCAGATTTAAGATGGACAGTCATATGTGAGAGGTCATGTCTGTTAACATCACAGTGTGTGTTCTGGTTGGGAGAAGTAGTCTGGTGGTCACCAGTCATGTTTACAACACCAGCTGACATCAGCTTTGCAACAATGGATTCACCTATTTGAGCACCTAACTGTCCTACCATGTCTGTGAGATGGTGAATGACATCGGCATCACCGCCAGGTGTGGAAGTGTGGGGACCACCCCTTGAATACCCACTAACAGGAGTACATCCTGGGCTCTGACCTAGCCCTGTACTTGTATAACCCACATTCATACACTTTGAATGTCCCACATCTATACTTTTAGCAATGTCTTGGAGCCAAGCGCCCCTACCTTTTGACAAACTAGGACTAGCAAATGTGTCCATTATTAGTTTAGCATCTGCTTTCGATTTATCAAATGTACTCGCGTTGTGTATATTTATACAGAGACTAAAAATGAGTAAAAGCAGAGCATTCTGAAGAACAAAAATGATATATACATTAACGAGAGTCACCAATAAACTTATTTGGACCCAAACCCACAGTTTTGTTCTTTGTTTTAACCTGACCACACAGTAATCTTCATTGCAGGACAGGACGACAGCGCAGCAACCACGGCGATGAGCATCAAGCTGATCTGTAGATCCGACGGGTCACGGCACCAGTGTAACGGGTGTGGTCGGGTGTGTGAAGGATTACTCCTGGGATCACTTCTTTTCCACGATTTATTGGCTCGCACATCTGCAGAACACAATGCACACATCAATTGCCCTGGCCTCCTCTTACATTACCTCTGCTTCCCTCAGCGGTGCAAGACGCAACTGAGCGCTTCATGTATTCAAAATACATTACAAAGACATTACTCCAACATCACATGAGTCACTCTGCTCATAGTGTACATAGTGTTCATAAAAAGCCATTAACACTGTTCAGAAAATACTAAATATTAAATGCAACAACATAAAAACAGTACATAGGTTTCCTTAAAACAACATCGCCTAACAGCGACACCTGGTGGTCTGAATAAAAAGTGTGTGTGGGAGGTGACAGAAACAACAAAAGTTTCATTAATAAACAGAAGGAAAACACATACCTGCAGAACACAATGCACACATCAATTGCCCCTGGCCTCCTCTTACATTACCTCTGCTTCCTAAACATACAAAAATACAGCGTTTACTCAAGTGACAAGACGCTGAAAACTCCGACAAGTTACATAGGTAACATGACACGGCCCGCCTGCCGTGGTAAAACTGGCGCCAGAAAGTTAAAAGGAAAACACTGATAAAAACGTATTTTAACGGTCACACTAATACAAAACTGCTACGTGACATAACCATATTTACATGGCACAATTTGTGCTTAAAGTTTTAACGTAAATGGTTCAATTTCCAAAGAAAACAATACATAAACCCAGCAGCACTTTTCCACACAACTTACCCTCAGCGGTGCAAGACGCAACTGAGGGAGACGAGCACTACGGAAGCTTAGGAGGTACAAAAGGGGTAGTGTGCAGCTAAGGACATTTCCACAGGAGAAAAAAAATAGCAAAAATAAATATAAATAAAAATAACTCAATGAGATAAAATTCACAAATATTCAATAAAATCATTAAATGATAAATAAAATCCACAGATGCACATTTGGAAATAAGAATTATTAAAGTGCATTTTTAACTCCGTTACACTTGCACAGTCTGCACCTGGGGTCCTGCCTGGTGTGGTAGACCCCAGCCTCTATTGATCTTGTACTGGTACATGCCGTGCAGCGGCTTGTCTTGATGTCAGTGGCCTCCATCTCCTCCTTTGGCCAGTTTATATCTCGCTCATGTCTGGCATACAGCTTTATGTCATCCATGTAGAGGAGGTGATTGATGGTATCCCTAGCCAGTCTTTGTGATGATCTGGCTGAGGTGGTTCAGGCCTATGCAGAACAGCAGCGGGATAGTGCATCGCCTTGGTATATGCCGCACTTGATGGTGACTTGTACAATTGGCTTTGAGTTGGCTTCCAGACTATTTTTCCACAGCCCCATTGACTTCTTGTTGATCTTGTACATTTCCAAGCATTCCAGTATCCATGTATGTGGCATTGAGTCGTAGGCTTTCTTGCAGTCAGTCCAGGCTGCACAGATTGGTCTGCCTGGTCTTGCAGTCTTGAGTGACTGCTCTATCAACCAGTAGCTGGTGCTTGGCTCCCCTGGTATTACTACCCATTCCTTTCTGGGCTCTGTCCATGTATTGAGCCATGTGCCTACTCATCTTAGCCGCTATGATGCCTGACAGGAGCTTCCATGTTGTGCAGAGGTTATTGGCCGGTAGTTGGATGGGATTGTTCCCTTCCGGGGGTCCTTCATGATCAGGACTGTCCGTCCTTGGGTTAACCATTCTGGGTGGGTCCCATCCATCAGCAGTTGGTTCATTTGTGCTGCCAGGCGTTCATGGAGTGCAGTTAGTTTCTTCAGCCATTAGGTGTGGATCATGTCAGGGCCTGGTGCTGTCCAGATCTTCATACCTGCCACTATTTCTTGGATGTCTGCCATGTCTGAGTACACTTTGGATGGTTCAGTGGAGAACATCCGGTTTATTCTCCTGGCTTCTGCTTCTTCCTTGTATCTCTTTAGGCTGGTAGCCAGAGTGGTGAGTCTTTGTTTGGCAGTCTCCAGAGCCTCAGGTATCGATAGCTTGTTATATTTCTTTGGTAGCCCCTTCTTTGCACCTTTCTGTAGCTCTGAGAGCTGACTAACCTCTCTTTGTGTTGCCTTGATCTTGGTCTCTAGCCTTCTCCTTCATGGGGGGTAATGCTCTTTGTGGCTTGTGGTGTTCATCTTATAGCCAAACATCTCAAGGATAACTGTTGTTGTGCGTACATCAGCTCATTGGTCTTGGTTATGGCTTTAGTATGGATAGTATGTAGTGCTGCTTTCACATCTTCTAGCAGACTTTCAGAGGGTACTTTGTCACTTAGTCTTGGCAATCTTGGTCATTGTACTTGGGGGTCCAGCTTAGTTATGATCTACAAACGTAGGTCAGTCGCCCTTGTGTTGAGTGATTCTGTGCCGTAAGGGCTTGTTGTTATCGGGGCTTGGGACCCAGTCTCTGAGTGTGGGGATGATGATGACATCTCCCTGCTGACCTGTCGTACTGGCTCACCCCTTGCCGTTGCATATATGTTGTACCTCATCAATCTCTAGTTGTGATAGGAACTGCCATTTGTGGATGTTAGAACACTGAGCTAGAAGTTGTTTCTTTGTCAGTGTTGATGATGGGTTTCGAAGCATCCATATATCCCATAGTCTCTGCATATAACCCCTCTCACCGGGATTGCTTGTATAGTAGCATTGCATCAGATCCACATTTTCTGCTCTAGTCCATGAATGTCTCAACTGTAGGTATGTATTTTACTTTATATTATGCTACCCTGAGCATGGCCAAGTAAATTTTATGTGTCAGCAAACAGCAAATAGACATTGAGCTTGGGAGGAATGAGGGGGGCGTCTTACCTCACACTACCCTACATGTTGGTGAAAGGGAAATTTCCTTTAAGATTTTGCATCACTTCGACTCTGTAAAATCCTTTCTGGTGGAGTTTAAAAAAGTTATTGACATTATGTGCTCCTTAATGTAGAAACTATAAATAAATCATTTATTCTGATGTTGTACTTACACCAAGAAACTATGGCAAGATGTATGTAGATTTGTGATTAATAATATTTACAGTGATTTTGAACTACTGTATAAAAATGTAATTTTTGGTTCTGTGAATGTTGAATGTGAGCTTCAAGAGAAATATTCTTTGATTAACCTTATAATAACTTTTTGCTAAATATTATATCCAGAAATGTAAAATTACTAATGCTAAACCAATATTTACCTTACTCAAGAAAGAAATTAAACTATATATAGGAATGATAAACAGAGAAGACCCAAACACAGATCACAGTTGAGAGTTCACAGTTTATTCGATAAAGAATAGTGCAGGGAAGTTGGGCACAGGTTAGATCTTCGCAAAACGTTTCAAAAAGCAAACACAGATTTCAAAGCTGGCTGGTGCTGACAGGACATACGCACAATAACACAACAATCAGGCGGGGACCGGGTGTCAGAGCCTCCCTCTTAAAGCCGTGGCAGATAGCGGAACACAGGTCAGGATGAATCTCAGGTGTGAGCAGAGCCTGCAGCAGACACGCCCCCAAGCTCCCAGACTGGAGGGAGAAACAACCAGAGACAGACAAACAAAAGCACACCAAGCTCCCCACAGGCCACCCAAACAGAACGTCACCCTCACACACTCACACCAAGCTCACTCCCAAAACAAGAAGGAAGTGAATATCTGTGTAGACTTATAGGAAAACCTTTCATTTAGTTTTAGTCTTTTTTATTATTATTTATTCTTTTTATGGTGGCCATACCTTATATTATCCCTGATGTGTTTTTATTCCCCTGGCAAGCTCCCGCTCTCTACTCACACTGTTTGTCTGTATTGAAGCAATAAAGTTTTTGAACTGGAAAAAAAAATGTTCATGTGGGAAAGCCTGACGCAAGGCATTATGGGATATGTGAGGACAGCTGCGGTTCGTCAGTATTTTATAAAATGTCCTGTTCCGTTAGTTTCTGTTCTTTTGTTTTGGATAAAGATCTTTGTTATGAATTTAGGATTCAATAAAAAGAAAAAAAAAACGTTTGTCGGGCTGAGCTTGATTTCCCGTGTGTCAATAAAGTTTTGACAAAGGTCAGCAAACCGGAAGCACACAGCTCCAGTTCCTGCTTCCGTCAACACACGTGTGAGTGTGAGTGAAGAGAAGACTCAGAGGCAGACCCGCACAGAACCGGTCCACAGTCCACCATGTTAGAGCAGCTGGGTCTGATCGGGACGATCCGGGACGAGGAGGAGAGTCCGGAGGAACCCGACACCGAGTCCGACCAGGAGGTGAGTCTGTCCGGCCACACGGGGGAACCGGCCCCGGAGAGACGACACTCTCAGGCGGCGGGAGGCGAACCAGAGTCCGGCTGGAAAACGGCAGATTTCCCGCTGTTTGATCCGGAAGGTTTTTAACCGTTGAAACACATTGAAGCAGTTTGTAGTGAGCTACAGAGACCGGAAGCTTCTGAGGAGGCCCGGTGTTTCGGTTAAACGGGTGGCCGTGTTACCTGGTGACCGTCAGCCGAACGCGTCTGTGGTTGTCGTAGATACACAGCTGTTGAAAACCGGAAGAGAATCCGTAGCTGTTCCCGCGAACACTAGTGATGTGCGATACCACTTAACTCCTGTCCGATCCAATACCAAGTAACACCCAGGCTGGTACTGCAGATACTTTTTACACATTTTATGTCTAGTTTCATGTGACCTCCTTCCTCCCGGTTCTGTATTTCTGAGAGAAATAAGGAGCAGGCTGTGGCCTTCAAAATAACAGCTGCATAATGACAAGACTTCAAACTACAGTCATATTCTTTACTTATAATTAAAATCTTCTGCTCAGAACTGCCGCTTCATAACATCATTCTGTTATTGTGACTTAATCTCAGATGTTTAGCGACAGGGGCGTCTTTAGGATCTTGAAACATTGGGGTCTTAGCCCAGCCCGTGAAACTTCATATCTTCACATAGTAGTTGACCCTCCAGCAAACAGTAAAGCAACAGTAAACATCCTCTACTTATACGGCACAACAACACTGTTAACTGTGTCATGTCTGCTAAATTGTAATTTCATGTGTGTAAATCAAATAATATAACAACAATACTGCGACAGTATGAACAGGGGGGTCTGGGGGTACTCTCCCATAAAATTGTGAATGTTAAACACTTAATTTCCTGCATTCTGGTGTTTTTCTGCACCAATTTCTGCCTTTTCTGCATCAATTTATTTTGGAAATTATTTATGTAAAGGGACACATAAAATTCAGGTGTTGCTGAATTGTGGCGAATATTTAAGAACATTGTGATATTTTATGACCTTCTAACTGATTATTTATTTCCATCTTAAATGTG